CTGGAAATGGGCCTCTATAGACCTATGTAGATATTGCACCATCATTTGCAGCTAAAATAGTCATTTACCACATTAGCAATGTATAGAGTGTATTTCTTTAAAGTTTAGACTAGTTTAAAGTTATCTTCATTGAAAAGTACAGTGCTTTTCCTTCAAATATAAGGAAATTTCAATGCGACCCCAAACTTTTGAACGGTAGCGTATATCAATATTTTAAAAAAGCCATCCTGATGAAAAAAAATTGATAAATTCAAAGATGTTCTCATTGCTTCAAATGTAAACAAATAAGCCTGTTGTGCTGCAGCTAAGTACATATGGGATCAAAGGAGGAATCCCTCTCAAAGACAACTGCAGTTTCACTGACTGCAGAGAGTTAGGAGAGCAGACCAAAAGTGATCTTGAGAGGACATAGAAAAGAACTTTAATCTTCCCATACCTGAGATCTAGAAAGGTCACACATAATCTACAAAACAGGAATGTACAGGAAGTGGTTTCTTTTCTTTCAGTATGAGTAACAGTGCAGAGAAATGGCATCAACAACCTACAAATATGAAAATTAATTTTGGACGGGGACGAGCTCCATTTATTGTAAAATCATTTTAGCTATACTGCGACACTGAGGACGCTTTTTTTCTAGCCAATATTTCAGTTGAGAATGGAGCAGTAAGGGAATTCTAGAGAATTAATATGAAAACTCCATTCAATTCCAGAGAAGAGGGTGTTAAAGTTCCCAGGGGTTTGAGAGTGACAGTGAATATCACTTTTATTTTTCCTTGAACAGAAGCCGGACTAAGAAAATATCTGTTTTTCTATCCATCCGTCCATTATCAATACCGCTTATTCCCTGATGGGGTCGCGGGGGGAACTGGAGCCTATCCCAGTGGTCAACGGGCGAGAGGCAGGGTACACCCTGGACAGTCCGCCAGTCCATCACAGGGCCACACATAGGACATACAGAACAAACAACCACTCACACTCACATTCACTCCTAAGGGCAATTTCCCCAATCTCCAATCAACCTAAAATCCAGGTTTTTGGACTGTGGGAGGAAGCCGGAGAACCCGGAGAGAACCCACGCAGACACAGGGAGAACATGCAAACTCCACCCAGAAAGGTCCTGGTTCCCCCAAGATTCAAACCCAGAACCCTCTTGCTGGGAGGCGACAGTGCTAACCACCACACCACCGTGCCGCCCATGTCTGTTTTTTTTTCATTAATTTTATATGGATCCGAAAACAGTTTTAATCAAAAGAAAAAAAATCTTCCGATTCATCTCAAAGTAAACAGCTGCCGTCAGAGCATAAATATTCTTGCTCTAAACTTTATTACAAGTGACTACAACCCCAGGATACTGAGCCCAAAAATGAACAAGTTTATTTACAATGACAAAAAGGACGTGGTCAAATTGCTCACCAGTTCACTTTGTCCATTTTGACCTTGTCTAACTATGCTGCAAATAATGTCACCCTTTTCATCTTCTCTAATCCGTGTTGTAATGTTAACTCTTTTTCTCAATCAGCATCCACAGCCATCTTAGATACCAGATAAATGTAAATGAACGATCAGTGTAACACAGTTTTATTACACTGATCATTACAGAGATTCAAAGGACACTGTTGGTCTAGAGACCAAAGTCACCCAAAGACAATTTCTGACAGTGTAAGAAAATTAGAGTAATTCTTTCTCCACCCATGAGCAATAAGCCATGCGAATCAACCAATGGTATCATGACATAAAATTATTTGTTGTGTGCAAGTACAATTGTGTGAAAAATCAAGCTAAAAAAAAGCAAAATTCCAGTTTACGATTATCTGTTTAAATTTTGGCAGAAGGAGTTTTGTCTATGTGGATGCAACAGCCAATGTCATATCACACAAAGAAAGACATTCTATGCCTGGCAGTGGATGAAATACCTCTTAGTGGCAAATTAGGTGCTTACCTGAGTGTAAATAGAGTATAGTAATCTGTTAGTACTGTCACAGCTAACTCTAAATCCTGACTGAAACAGAGGACAGTACCTACATGGAGGAATGAGAAATTATACATTTAGAAAAGAAAGTTAGCCAACTTAGCTCTTGCAAAAGAAAAACAAGAGAGAAACAATGATTTCCAACAAACTGAAGTTTCATTATGAAGAACAAACAAAAGGCCAAACAGTTCCAGATTTAAAGGAACTATAACTAAAATCAAAAATATGAGCCTAAACTGACAAATAATGAGACACTAGAAACCAAAAACCAACATGGAAAGGCCACTGAACGGCCCAGCAATCACAAGGCACATAAGGTTTACAGAAGCACCTGTCACAAAATGAATCAAGATAATCTTATATAGGGGAGAGATGAATCGTAGGATGTAGAACAGCTGAGACAGGAGCACAGGTGCAGGGAATTCAGTCAATGAAAACCAGAGAAAACACTTGGAAATGAATCAGACACAGGAGACTGAGGTTGGTCCACAAAATAAAACACAGGAAGTAGGGAGAAGAAAGCTGAGAAGAAACTCAACCAAGAAGCAATGACTAGTGTAGAATAAAGATAGATAAACAGGAAACAAAATACAGAGAGAAACAGAGATAATAACTGGAACTAGTACCAAGGCACAATATAAGAAGGTAAATACAAATTTAACTACAACTATTCAGATTATAAAGAAGTAAAGAACTCAAACTGGGGATGACAGGAAAATATAATGCAGAAAGGGAACTCTAAACCAACAAAATGAAAACAACAACAACAAAAAAAACATGAATAACAAAGAAGCTAAAATAACCAATACCATAAGGAAAAAAACTAAACCTAAACCAAAAATCAAATAAGCCCAAACAAAGAGTCCAGCTCATAACACCCTGAAAAGCCCTGTTCTCTATTGTTCTGTAGTTAGTCATTGACCCCCAATGTTGTTCTCCCTGCAACAGCTCTCAGGTCTCTAGGTATGAAGCTTCTTGGCAGCCTGATGGATTTTTGGAACTCATGGGAGAGCCATGATGTTTCCAGACTCGAGCTGCACACCCAATCCTGGTCCTGCCGTGTACATCCAGATTAAACCAGGGTTTCTGACTGGGGACAACATGAATAATCCTAGTGGGGATGCGGATGGAGGCAGGGGGGAAAACATTTACCCTCAGATTAATGGACAGTTCTCTTGGCAAGTAGAACAACTTGCACTTTACAATAATGTACACCACTTCCTCAGAACATAACTGTGCGATTTCCATGTTGTTTGTGCTCCAAGATTAATTGACAAAGATCACTTTCTGTCACATAATGGCCTTGTAGGCCACATTTCACAGACTCATACGACGGAGCAATCACAGGCATGCTGCTGTGTAGGACACTGACTGATGAGGTTGTTTATCTTGATAGTCAGGTCTGGGAGATTTCACATTTGTGAAGTATGAATGGGAGAGATAGCTGTCCTCTGCCGACTAATTGGCAGAGTCTGCAATCTGCTCGTCATACCATGATTCACTGTCCTGTCCAAGGTACAGGCAGGTCCCACAGTTGCGGCCTGCCGTGGAGACTCCAGCATCAGCTGTTTTTGTGTTAAACTATCCCTTGTCGCCCAGTTCCTCAGGCACAAATTGATTCTCCATATCGTACCTGACTAGCTCACACATGAAAAGACAGAAATTAAACTCAGTACATTATCTTAATGGAAAAAAGATTAAGTTCCACCATACCTGAAATGCATTGACTTATGACTTATTGACTTATGACTTATTTTTAAAAATTGGTATTGAAATATTGTGTCCTGTTTTTACAGGTTGCAAAATAATCTAAGTGTACAATCAATAGGCTGTGGTCTGCTGTAGACAAGCTAGATTTAGCTTCATATTACTGTGAAATACCACATAAAATACTATTGAGGAGTAGATGTTTTGAAATAAACAAATTGCAAAAGGCTTTACAATTGGATATATCTATTGATTTCAAATTGGAATCTGTTGTTTAAATCATATCCAGAGTTCATATTCAGTATTAAGATAAACTTCTTTTTCAGATTAGTAAAATATACTTGGGTTCTTTAGAAAAATAAGAGTGAGTTAACAGAAAAGTAATAGATCTAGGATAAATTTTGAATGACCTTTTAGAAATTGTGTAACTTTTTCTCTCAATTCTCAATTAGATAGCGAGCTAATGAGAATGCGCGAATCACTTGAATTATTACTTGAATACTTGAATGATTTTTTAAATAATTATATTTGCGTGTGGGCAGCATGGTGGTGTGGTGGCTAGCACTATAGCCTCACAGCAAGAAGGTTCTGGGTTAAAGTCCCCAGGGGGAACCAGGACCTTTCTGTGTGGAGTTTGCATGTTCTTCCTGTGTCTGCATGGGTTCTCTCCGGGTTCTCCGGCTTCCTCCCACCATCCAAAAACCTGCATGTTAGGTTGATTGGACATTCTAAATTGCCCTTAGGAGTGAGTGTGAGTCTGCGTGTTTGTTCGTCCTCGTGTGTCTCTGTGTGGCCCTGCGATGGACTGGCAGACCGTCCAGGGTGTACCCCGCCTCTCGCCCATTGACTACTGGGATAGGCTCCAGTCCCCCTCCGACCCCATTAGGGAATAAGCGGTTATGAAAATTGATGGATGGATGTTTGCATGTTAGCTGTAACCTATATAATTACCATATGCTGAAAGATGGATATGTCATCAAATTAGAATAAGTGATAAAAAATGGTGAGACTTCAACGAAAGCTCAAGTTTCCAAATTTGGAAGAACACTTTCTGTCTGGAGAAGATGCAGTTATTTACTTTTTTATTAGTCAGTAATGGAATTGAAAAATTTGCAAGACTGAGCTGATGTCTTTGAGTGGCACAGTTCCTGTCAGTGAAGCAAGGCAAAACGGAGCAATACGGCATTCATACAGCTTCAGACCACATGATGTAGGCGGCATCAAAGCAGCACAACCGACACTTCCTTAGAGAGAGCTGAAGGGGAACCGCCAGGGGGATGGCGGTCTCTTTCATTTTTTTGCCTTTCTCTTTTTCCTCCTCCAGCTTAAGCCAGCTGTCAGTGAGAGTCTTCTGAAATACTGTGCTCTGCACTGCACAGTCACGCGCACTGAGAGAGTGAGGGCCAAAAGGGATGGATTGAGAGATCTGAATGTTGCAACACCAGAGTGGTTATGCCATGTGTGGAGAGAGGACGAGAAACAAAAGCAGGGTGCAGGAGCAGAAAAAAAAGTGGACACGTGAATGTATATTACACCCAGGGTGTACCCTGCCTGTCGCCCATTGACTACTAGTTTACGCTCTAGTCCCCCAGCAACGCCATTAGGGAATAAGAGGTCACGATAATGGCTGGATGGCTTCCTTCATGACTTCTTGTCACTCAGCTGTTTTACCCAAAGTGTTTGTTCCGAAAGTGTATTTTATAGCTCAAAATATACACTTTCGCAACAAACTCTTAAAAAAATTGTGAAAAAAGACTCCATATACAAGGCTTTCACATCTCCCCATGATAATATTCCAAATAATAGAACAATGTACCATTGTTTCCTGCAATGAAGAAGATGGTTTTTCTATTCTCTACAGTTGTAATTGATCAAATTAAGAGTGTGTGCTCAAATTATGAGTGTGCTTTTGTGTCACCTTGCATTGCACAGAGGGAATTCCAGCCAGACCTGCTCTACTGAAAAGGGGAAAAAAAGAAAAAGAAAATCTTCCCCTACCAATCAAATGTCCAACTTGTGTATTCCAAATCAAAAACACAAATGTCTGATTGTCTCAACTGTCTCAAATAAAACATTGATCAGCTCAGTGCTGACTAAGTCAGCTTTGCAACAGAAGCTTCTATATGCCCCTCTGTGGTGAATGTCACCCCATGGCTGTCAGGGCAACTCATTAGCACCGGCTGTGCTCAGTGCATCAGAAAAGAATGTGGAATACTCTCAGAGCAGCCTTGAGATTCTGCTCAAAGACCAATAATCAATACAGAATAAAACTATCACGTTTACTTGAATCTTAATTATGCATTTCTGTTTGAGTATATCTAAATGCTTTCACTTTAGAGCTTCAATGGACAACCTGGTGATCAGACTTACACATATTATGCACATACAGATCTTATTAAGATCAGCACACAACAAATAGTCAGCGCTCAATATGTCCAATGCATTATCCAGTTTAAATGGATATCCTCTTCATAATGGTTTAGTCATTGTTTTTTAACTTACACAGCAGACTGCTGGCACTTATAAAACTAAAATACTAACTACTAATAGACTTAAATCGTCAACTTCATTGCCATGCTAGATTTTCTCTTGCATATGAGACAGTATCCCCTGGACTCTGAGTGGACAGACATGCACAGTGTGATATCACATTAGTGTTATAGCATGCTATTCACTATTCCCAGAGTGGTGGATATGGCATAATGTGTGTCAATAATGAAAAAAGGATTGAAAACCCAGAGAGCAGAACAAGGATTCTGACTAAACTGACTATTTGCAGCTAGTTGTTAATTTGGACATAAACCTGGATTAAAAAATAAAATAAAGGTTTGTCTAACGCAGCCCAGTCTCTCATAGTGTAACTCAGATTCTACTTAGGCATCATCTGCCCCGTTATGCCCTCAGCTGACCTACATTGATCATTTTCAGTGGGATTTTATGTGCAGAGCTTTTTTCTTTAAAATGATGTACATTTCTGCAAAATAATGACTACAGTTAAAATGGGGTGTGCTGTACAGGCTTGAATTAAATATATTTCACTGTGCAACGTTGCAGCATCGTGAATGAAGACAAAAACAAATAAGCCTGTATTTTCTTGCTATTTTGGTACTGTAAATGTAGAATTGTATCCGGTCTAAATACTCCTCTACCCCTTTCAGCGACTCTCCTTTTACCTAACCTCGAGAAAGTATTTCTGTCAACTGTATACCATAGGCCATTTAGCAGAAAAAAATTACATAAATTTTAATCAGTGAACAACGTGAAACAAGTCTCTGCACATTCATCTATTTATGTGAGGTTTTCCACAACTTTCTTGATAACAGGGGCAACATTTTTCTCTTCTTCTCAGGATAGTTTTTATCCAGCAGATAGTCCAAAAGAGCCCAGCCCAGCATCGACACACTCTCTCCCTGCCTTTGACTCAGGCATGGATGGACGCCCCAACACAAACATCAGAGAAATGGGAGACTGAAAGAAGTATTTTTTGTTTAATAATGCTGTCCCAGGAAAAATGTGAAATGTCACAGTCCTGTTAATTTGACTGAATATTTTAGGAAGCAATGACAGTATTTTTTAAAGTAAGAAGCTGGTTAAACATTGTCTTCCACAAAGATTGATTTTGTACTTCATCCATCCATCCATTCTGCCATCTGCCTATTCCATGTAGAGTTGCGGGGACTGGAGCTTATCCGAGCAGTCATTGGGTGACACACCCAAGACAAGTCCAGTCCATTGCAAGACAAGAGACAATCAACCACATACAGTGGGGGAAATAAGTATTTGACCCCTTGCTTATTTTGCAGGTTTTCCCACTTACAAAGAATGCTTATTTTTCCTCATCGGATGGTTATTGATTTTTATAAATTCATATGATGTGATTTCTGGAATTTTCTTTGGGATTCTGTCTTTCACTGTTAGAATGTACATATGATTAAAGTTATGGATAGTTGCATTCTTTGTAAGTGGGCAAACCTCTCTCTCTCTCTCTCTCTCTGAGTGCATGCTGGGAGTTTGGTGGTGGAGAGTGTGGTGAGCGTGGCTGAAAGTTTGCGAGTAATTTCAAACTTCCTTTGTTTTCCCTTCTAAGTGTTTATTGTATGACTGTTTGATCATTGTTTTCGTTTTTTTGTCTCTCTAAGTTGTTGTGTGTTTGGGTGCTTGTGGGGCCGGTACGCCGTGTTTCTAGACGGGGATGGCGTCCTCGGAGGCGCCGTCCCTGTCTCTGAAGCATGGGGTGCGGGTGGTGCCCCAGCCCAGCACCACGGTGGAGCAGGTGCTGCTGGCGGTAGGTGAACAGGTGAGGCACGAAAACATCGTGTGTGCCTCACGGATGAATAAAGCGGTGGTGGTGTTTTTGAAGAACTTGGAGGTAGTCAGTCAACTCATTGAGAGCGGACTGATCCTGGAGAATGAGTTCGTTCCGGTGTCCCCTCTGGCGATCCCTTCGGTCCGGATCACCGTCTCTGGCGTCCCCCCGTTTATTCCCAATGAGGCTCTGGAAGCGGAGCTCAAGCGTTTCGGGAAGTTCGCGGGCGGGTTCCGGGTGGTGAGTCTGGGCTGTAGGGACGCTAAGCTGAGGCACGTTCAGTCGCTGCGTAGGCAGGTGTTCATGTTTTTGGACTCTCCAGCGCAGACACTGGACGTGTCGTTCCGTGTGAAACATGAACTAGGACACTACATGGTGTATGCCAGCTCCGGGAACATGAAGTGTTTCGAATGTGGAGATGTGGGCCACAAGCGGATGGCGTGTCCCCACAGACAGCGCGCTGCGGGGCCCTCGGCGGAGCCCGCCCCGGCACCGGGGGCGGAGGCGTCGGCGTCGGAGGAACCCGCCCCGGAGCCGGCGGCCGCTGCTGCTGCGGTCGACAGCGGGGAAGGGAGCAGCAAACAGCGAACACTGCCCGAGGCTGCTCCACGTGACGACACTGGGACGGATGGCTCCGTGATCGGGGCTGACGGTGGTGACAGTGGCTCCGTGATCGGGGCCGACGGTGACAGTGGCTCCGTGGCCAGGGCTGATGGAGGTGAGAGTGCTGTTAGTGGCTCAGTGGTTGGGGCTGATGGTGCTGTTAGTGAATTAGTGGTTGGGGCTGATGGTAATGTGGGTGAGGAAGAGGCGGTGGTCAGGACAGGGCAGAGGGTGGATGACCTGGGGAGGCCAGAGCAGGCTGCAGAGGGTGCTGCTGGGCGGGATGTGGAGCTGCTGCAGGTCAGCCCTGACAGTGAGCCGGATGACTCGGTGAAGTCTGCTCGTGGCCATGGCGACATGGATGGGGACTCTGACTCTGACAGCTTCTCTGTAGCAGACAGCTACTCTCAGAGTGGTGACCTGTACTCCCTAGAGGAGATTAATGAATTCCTGGACGAGACGTTTGGGAAGAAGGTAAATGTTAGAGAATATTTTCCGGACATGGACAAATTTATTCAGTCAGCCACCACCCTGCAGAGAGTATTTGGGCTCGATGTGCTGGACAGCAAAAAACGCTATCGGCTGAAGAAGCATGTTACAGGTCTGAAGAAGACTCTCAAAACAACAAGGAATAAAATGTCAAAGAAAATGAAACTGTCGAATTAAAGCAAAATGATTGTACAACACCGGGTGTTTCAACTCTGTTGGTTTTCCCTACTGGTCTGTCTCTCTTCTTTCTTCATGAAGGGTCTAAGAGTGGCCTCGTTAAATATAAATGGGGGTAGAGATGTAAAAAAGAGAACTATCATATCAGACATAATCGCACAGAAAAGGTTGGATGTAGTTTTTTTACAGGAGACACATACTGATGGAACAAATTCAATAGATTGGGACTTATGGTGGGGAGGGCAGCAGGTCCTTAGCCATGGGACCAATCTAAGTGCAGGAGTCGCCATTTTGTTTTCTGCCAAGCTGAAAGTCACTGTGACATCCAGCACGGAGGTAGTGAAGGGCAGAGTCCTTATGGTGAGAGCTGAAGTAGAGGGCTTCAGCTTCGTTTTCATTAATGTATATGCACCAACCCAAGGCTCTGAACGAGAAAAAACTTTTAAAAAACTGAGAGAAACACTAAATGATATTGGTACAGGAGAGTTTATTGTTTTGGGTGGGGACTGGAACTGCTGCACAGATTTCACATTGGATAGGACTGGAGAGGAGCCACATATTTCCTCCTCCTCTGTCCTGTCTAATGTTTTGAAACAGATGGACTTAGTTGATGTCTGGAGGATGAAACACCCCTCGCATAGACAATACACCTGGATCAAGATGTCAGGTAGAAGAGTAAGTGCAGCTAGGCTGGACAGGTTCTATCTGCCTGCTTCCTTTACTGCAGGAGTTTTTAGCTGCCAGATCCTCCCAGTGGGCTTTACAGACCTAGTTGTGATGGAGCTAGTGCTCTCTCCCACTGGAAGACCAAGAACTTTGTGGCGTTTTAATGTTAAATTATTAAATGATCTTGTTTTCTGTGAAAATTTTAAATATTTCTGGGACTATTGGAGGGCCCAGAAAGGTGACTTTCTCTCCCTGGCTCGGTGGTGGGAGGTGGGGAAGGCCCAGACCAGGGTGTTTTGCCAGGATTACACAAAAAAGGTCACAACGGGCATAAGGACAACAGTGCAGGGGCTAGAGGGCCAAATCAGAGACTTGGAAAATGCCCTACAGGGAGAGCTGCAAAATGACTTACTGAGGTCCAAAAAACAGGAACTAAACTCCTTCCTTCAGGAGAGAGCCAAAGGGGCTCTTGTCCGAGCACGCTTTACCAGGCTGCAGGACATTGATGCACCTACCACCTTCTTTTTTAACCTGGAGAAGTCTGTCGCGTCAAGAAAACAGATGGTGTGTCTCCGCCTCCCTGATGGGAAGGTCACCGCAGACCCGGCAGAGATGAGGAGGCATGCAGTCGACTTCTATACTGACTTGTTCAGGGCGGACGGCTGTGATGTGGATGCTGCTGAGGAGCTTCAGCAGGGACTTCCTCAGCTGAGTCCAGGAGATCGAGTGGCGCTGGGTATGGATGTAACTCTTGATGAACTGTCTGCGGCGGTGTCTCAGATGGCACCAGGCAAGGCTCCAGGAATAGATGGTCTACCATCTGACTTCTTTAAACACTTCTGGACCATCTTGGGACGGGACCTTCTGGACGTTTTTAAAGAGTGTTTTATGAAAGAGATGCTTCCAGCATCCTGCAGGCGTGCGGTTATTTCACTGCTGCCCAAGAAGGGAGATCTAGCCCTTTTAAAAAACTGGAGGCCAGTGGCCCTGTTGTGCACTGATTACAAAATCCTCTCTAAAGTCTTGTCCAATAGGCTGAGAATGGTTATCGACCTTTTAATTGGTGCTGACCAGTCATACTGTGTACCGGATAGGTCAATGTTTGACAATTTGTTTTTATTGAGGGATGTTTTTGACATCAGCAAGATTTATGACATCAAGGTCGGTATCCTATCCATTGACCAGGAGAAGGCCTTTGACCGTGTGGACCATGGTTTTCTTTTTTCCACGCTACAGGCCTTTGGTGTTGGAGAGGGTTTTCTGTCATGGACGAGACTACTGTACCGAGATGCTTCTTGTGTGGTAAAGGTGGGAGGTGGGTTGAGTGCTCCAGTGCTAGTCAGGAGAGGGATCAGACAGGGATGCCCCATCTCGGGCCAACTGTACAGCATGGCCATTGAGCCTCTCCTTTGTCGGCTGAGGAGCAGACTGAGAGGTCTCTCCCTGCCGGAGCTGGCTCAGATGCCTCCTGTGGTCGTATCAGCATATGCTGACGATGTGATTGTTTTCATTTGTGACCAGGGAGATGTTCAGGAGTTGGAGGTAAGTTTGGCCCTGTACGGGAAGGCTTCCTCTGCGAAGGTAAACTGGGGAAAGAGTGCAGCCTGCTTAGTGGGAGAGTGGTGCGTGGGGAGTGCTCCCGTTTTACCTGGGGACCTTAGGTGGGGTACACGGGGTCTGAAGAGCCTGGGAATTTTTTTAGGGACAGAGGATTTTCAGAGGCAGAACTGGGAGGGAGTGCTGGAAAAGGTGGAAGCCAAGTTGTCAAAATGGAAATGGTTGCTACCTCACCTGTCCTTTAGGGGGAGAGCTCTGATTGTAAACAACCTGGTCGCATCATCTCTGTGGCACAAGCTCATCGTGCTGGTGCCACCAACAGGCTTCCTGAAGGACGTACAGCGGCTTCTCGTGAACTTTTTCTGGTCTGGTCAACACTGGCTGAGGGCGGCGGTCCTGTATCTCCCTGTGGCAGAGGGAGGGCAGGGACTTGTGGACATTCTGTCCCGAACGGCGGCCTTCAGACTGCAGACTGCACAGAGGCTGTTATATGGATGTAGTCGCTGCTGGTTAGCTCCTGCTCGGCTGCTGCTCAGGAACGCTGGCCGGCTTGGGCTGGATAAACAGCTGTTTCTTCTTAAAACGTCCGAAGTAGACCTGACAGGACTCCCACCCTTCTACAGCTCGGTGATCAACGCCTGGCAGACACTGAAGGTCTCAAGAACTCCTGACCCTGGGCCAGGGATGTGGGTCTATGAGGAGCCACTTTTTAATAATGACTTCCTTAGGAATGCCACACTGTCTTCCGTCACTCTGAGGACCAAATTTGTTGAGGCCGGCATGACCAAACTGGGCCACCTGGTGAATAAGTCCATGGACACACTTGGTGATGTCATAAATGTCAGATCCTCAAGACTGGTGAGTAGGATTGTGGAGGAAGTCTGGCAGTCCCTGTCTGGGCCCCTGAGAGACTTTGCCGGGAGTCATGCTAGCCAATGGACGGATGGCAGCATGTATGCTTTTCCGTCTCTGAGCGTCTGTCCGGCTGCTGGGGAGCGGCAGGAGGAGGATGGTTCACTTCTTACATGGAATACACCGGTGCTGGGCGCATTCAGCGCCTGTGGAAAAAAGCAGCTGTATCTCAGCTGTGTGAAGGTGCTGAACCTTCACACGCTGGCTGGAGTGAAGGAGTCAAGATGGGGCGAGGTGTTTGCATCAGACATTACCCCTAAGGGCAGGTGGAGGATCCTGTACAAACCCCCTGTTGAGAAAAGGATGGCGGAGCTCCAGTGGAGGATGATACATGGATCAATAGCCACGAACAGACACAGAGCTCGCCTGGATCCAAGCACTGGGGAGGGCTGTCCATTCTGCACTCAAAGTGAAACACTGGAGCACTTAGTGGTGGGTTGTTCTCGGCTAGTTGGCCTTTTTAGAGTTTTAAAGGAATGGGTGGAAGCCCTGGGAGAGTCCTTCTCTGTCCCCCTGTTTGTTTTTGGACCCAAATATGTTGTCAGGAGAAAGCTGACATTGGTTTTAATCAATTTTTTACTTGGCGTAGCTAAACTGGCGCTTTGGAAGACAAGGAAGCATCAGATGTTGGGTCGGGGCTGGACGGATGTGGTGCGGTGCCTGAAGGGTCTGGTTGCGGCTCGTCTGAGAGTGGAGCACGCATATTACACGCTGACGAACAATCTGGAGACGTTCAGGGCTCTGTGGGGGATTAGACGTGTTTTATGTTCACTAGAGGAAGATGGCTCTCTGGTTCTCAGTTTTTGACCTATTTTTTTGTTTGTTTGTGTGTGTGTGTGTGTTCTGGGTGTGTGTATGTGTGTTCTGGGTGTGTGTGTGTGTGTCCAGGGTGTGTGTGTAGTTACTGTATTTGAGTTCTGTTCAGATTGTGTATTCCTATTGTGTCATAAATAAAAGACGTTAAAAGTCTCTCTATATATATATATATATATATAGAGAGAGAGAGAGAGAGAGAGAGAGAGTGAAAGAGAACTAAAGCGCCATCTTCAGCGGCTAAAAGCTATTGCCGAATTCCCAGTAGCCTACTGAGGAGTACTCTGTTGTGAAATAATTTTTTTCAACCTATATTTTTATAGTTAGTTAGTTATATTTATATGCTCATTTTCTTCTAAATTAGACGGCCAGGCGCCAAAATGCTCCGCCATTAACTGAAATTGAAATAGAAAGGTCTGAAATGGCCTCAACATGGTAAATTTCAGATGTTCTGAAATGCGGAATACGAAATTAAAAACATCCTCGGGCTGATAACGCAGCCTACTACTGTGCTTAAATCCAATGTGCCTTTGACACCGATCTCAAATTGGCAACTGACCTAGTTGGCATTGCGACAACAGCATCGTTATTCAAAGCATTCTGTTTTACTTTAAGTGGGGTGTCATTGCTTGACTATGTCTATTGGCCATCTAACTGAAGTGCTTGACGTTTCCTTTGGGTTTTTAAAATAGTTAAGAATGGGTTTGCAAGTCTTTCAAACATGAACTTATTTTGCATCGTCAGGTTCGGAGCGAGCTCCACACACGGAATTGGAGGAGAAGAGATGAGAGGGCGGGGGAATGGATGAGAGAGAGCGAGAGAGCGAGAGAGAGAGAGAGAGAGAGAGAGAGGGAGAGAAGGAGAGAGAGAGAGAGAGAGAGAGAGAGGGAGAGATGGAGAGAGAGTAAGAGGGTGAAAAAAGGTGCCTGAATCCATCTCTCTCCTCCCCGTGACGTCGGTTGGTGTGCACCCGGGGTGCGTCGCTCTCTAGTCCCGTCTCATCAGAGACCACTTTGACTGGTGGTTCCACCGTCCACATAAACCGTCGTAGGGACGTGTGCGGCGCCGTGCAGCGAGGTGCGTTTCCAGTCCCCGGTGTCCTTCTTTCATTTTTAATTATTTTTGTACTCAACCGCGCGGCCTGTCCTGTCCCACGTATTAGTGAACTGTTTCCACGCTGCTCCAAGAACGAGGGGAGAACCTGCTCGCTGAGTAAGAGGCTTCAAGGGAAAGAAGAGAGGCGGGACAGAGGAGGAGGAAAGAGGTCGCTGTGGTCATTTCCCTTTCCCGGACTGAATTTACCAGTGAGAAGATGCTGCGAAGAGTCGACGTGTTGGCTTTCATGGCTCTGTGGTTGAGCGCTGCTCACACCAAAGGTACGGTAGGTGAAGGGCAGCCTGCTCCGTATGGCGCGCGTCGCTAATGCTCTACTGCTGGATATATGTGAAGATGCAGAAAAATGTAGCTCTCACTCTTCGAACTTTGTGGTGATTACACTGTTACTACTCTATCGTTGTTGTTTCTCCTCGCTGAGAGAACAGTTTATTTTTGGAAGGAAGCCTTGCGCATAAGTATTTGTCATGAAGAAATGTTTTTGTATTAACTCCAAGGGCTGTAACAAAACGTGAGGCTGAGTCTCCAAAGGAGGCGATTACTATTAGGGCTGTGATTCTCAAGGGAAATCTTAAAGCGACCTGTTTTGGTGTCATCAATGCTTGAAAAACTTTTATTGCGATATATAAGCCTATAAAAGTTTACTTCTGCATTCCTCGTATTTTCATGTGGAAAAAGGAATGACCTTTGATAAGCTGTGATGTTTTTGGGACTGATATGTAGAGTAGTTGAAAGAAAGTTCAGCAGGTGATGTGTAAGCAAGGATCTGCAAATATGGAGGTCTACACTTTTGTTTCTCTGAGGAAAGCTTAAAGGATTTTTCTTCAAGCATGAAGGAATAACTGCTAAATCTCTAAACATAACACAGACACATATGTATACTATTTTGGCTGTCAGATAGCTGTTAAGGTACGCATCCAGGGAGCATTTTAAGAATAATGTTAATTGTATAATGTTGTATAATGTAATGTATAGTTTTCATTCAATTTACAGTCACAATTTGCTAATGGTTCTAAAAAAAATTTGAGCAATCCACCGAAACCTCAGATAAAGGATGACACTATGTAATAAATGTGTCACACTGGCAATGTGTTAGCTTCACTGCTGACCCTTATTTATAGCTCCCTAGTAAGCCTGCCTCAGTGGACCTGCTAAATTCTCTTGGGGATGGTGTGTGCAATAGGTAAGCTATTAAATGGCAATAGTGGCAATAGGTTTGTGCGAATCAACTCCCTGTAGACCCCATTTGGCATTTCCTCCGTGAAATAACATAGTGACACCTGTCAGTTTAGTCTTGCAGTTGAAAAACACTGTAGCTGTGATAAGCTGTTCATCCCTTTACCTCCAAATAAAGCATTCAGCTTTCCTGCAAGCTGACTGGCTAACTGACTGGTTGCAACTGCAATCTTTGTTGTGTGTTTGGAAGGAGAGCATATACCAAGAGACCTTATACATGCTGTGACCTACCCCTGAGGACAAATTTTGCCCTTACATGCACTTGCAAGCAAGTGCATGTAAGGGATAGACTGTAACACTGAGTGTTTATTTGTTGGAGAATGGTTAATATCAGTAATATGGTGTGAAATAAGAGGAGATTTACATTTGGAGGAAGGGTCGTTATTTTGCTACCGTCAGGTGCTTGAGTGTGAAGTAAACAAATTAGTAACAATGCAACGGAGGTGGAAAAAGTGCACCATGGTTCTAATTAATTCCCCCAGGGCCACTGTACAATATACTTAAAAATCTGGAGAAAATAAAAAACATCTTGTGTCCAAACTGTGTAACTTTTATTTGTTGATAAATATGATCATGCTGCTCTTCTTGAATTTTGTCACACCTGGTAGGAGACTACCTGAAAGGAGCGATTTGTCCTGTTTTTACCTTCAAATCTGTTTCCGCATTTCAGTTTTTAAATAACAGCTGATGCGGAGAATTTGTGCCATGTGTGGATAGGAGTCTGCGTCTGTAGTGACAATATGCGAAGCCTTTATAAAGATTTTGAAATAACTTTGAGAGGCCTTTTTAGCTACAGTCTCATTGCACGTTCCTTTAATCACCATCATCCTGGAGTCCTCTCCAAAGGCTGAACATTGGTGTGTTTGTATGTGTGTGTGTGTGTCTGTGTGTGAGAGAAAGAGAGAGAGAGAGAGAGAGAGATTTGAGATTTTAAACAATTTTTTATTGGCTTACATAAATACAGAAAGATTCATACAATTTAATTATAAGTGGAAAAACAAAGTTATAAAAAAAGAAAAAGGAAAAGAAAAGAAAAAAACTACAGAAATTGAATGAAGTGCAAATCGTCATCAATAACAGTACATAGTGCCTGCCCACAGCACCACACAGCTTTAAAGGTCTCTAGATTTTGCATCAGTTTATAAAAACGGAAATCAATCAAGACCCTACCCTTCACCAGAGCAGGGAACAAGGTCAATGCATTATCTCCAGGTTGTTTTTCAATTCTGTTTTTTCTACTAACATAAATAGCCATTTTAGCTTCCCCTAAGATAAAATTCAACAGTTTACATTAGTTTTGTCTTTGTTTTCAATATCTGAAACCAAGAATAAAAGTCTCTGAGGAGAAATCCTCATTAGAACAATTAAACAAATGTTCCAATACTGTAAACAATGGCCTCAGTCTCAAGCAGTACAAAAAAGCATGAAACACAGTTTCCCTCTCAGAACAGAAAGGACAGTCCTGATCAACGGTTGGATTTAAAACAGAGACAAAAGCATTAACAGCAATCGCCCCATGAAGGAGTCTCCACTGCAGATCTCCCACCCTCTTAGGCAATGGTGGTTTGTAAAGTGCCCTCCATTCAGGTTTTACATCCACACTTAATTTTAAAACAGAACGCCAGGGTGTGTCAACCCTACCCATGAAACACTTTTTATTGAACACTTTCACACAAGCCTGATAAAACCTTTTCCCAGTGGCAGCACTCAACCCGACTGTAGTTATGCCTGATAGGAGAAGACCGGCACCTTCATCCAAAATGGGTGTAATTACCATCCCAGGGAAGTCGTCGAACACATCTGGGTGCCCCAATCCAGAACAATAGTCTCCAAGAAGCCCAAGTTCATCCGTAGTGCACGTGGTACGCCATTTCTCCAAGAGCTGTGCAGCCACACGCAGAGAGCTGAGGCCCACAGAGACAGCAAACCTTTTCACATTTTGAAAGTCCGACCCTGCCAGTTCCACTACATCCTTCAGCGTCACTATCTTTGAATCAAGAAGTCTCCCCTGAAGTGAAGGGAAGCAGGATGAGAAAATGTCCATTCTTGCACCGCCAACCACAGGTTCTTGAAGAAGCCAGTGTAGGGAAGCCGCTTTCCCCTGCCTCTGCACTTGAAACGTGCCCCAGACTTTCAAGAGGGTACGGTAGAACGGAGGCAACTTAGTACTGTCTACCCTATTTGGCACTGTCAGAAAAAGTGACTTATCAAGTCCCAACCCCCCACAAGTTCTTAAGATTGTGCAGCACAACATTTTCCAACCAATAACTGTAGGCCCAGTGAGGAGTCTTTTCACAAATTGTAGCCTGAAAGCTGCCGTTCTGCTCTGAAAGTGTATAAGACCGTGCCCCCCCTCGTCTTTAGGCAAAAACAAAACAGACCGTGGTACCCAATGCAAGTTATCCCCAAAAAAATTCCCAACAACAGATTGCAGTTTGTTCTGAAGGTCTGGTGGAGGATCCACACAGGCCAGACGATGCCAAAAGGATGAGGCTACCAAGTTATTTATGATAAGTACCCTCCCCCTGTATGACATCTTTGGGAGTAACCACTTCCACCTCTCAAGCCGCCCATTAACTTTCTCCACTGCACCCTCCCAATTTTTCTGCAAGACTTCATCATTCCCCAGAAAAACACCCAAATACTTAAAACCATCTTTTTTCCAACCTAGTCCATCGGGGAGCTTTGGCACCCCTTTCACCCACTGACCTAGCAATAGAGCCTCGCTCTTGGACCAGTTAACCCTTGAAGATGAAATTGACCCAAAATCCCTGAGTACATTAGCAGCTACCTCTATGTCCCTTCCCCCACTATTTATCAGGACTATGTCATCGGCATAGGCAGATAGCCGAACAGGACAGGAAAAACCAGGTACAGACAAACCACTCAAAACCCTTCTCAATCGATGTAAAATAGGCTCTATTGCT